TCCTAAGTGGTCATATCTACCACAAACATCATATTTAAAAACATGTGGTTTACTAGAAACGTTTGGCAAATAAGATTTTCTTTTTAAATCAAAATAGCATTCAGCCAAATGACCAAAACGACCACAAAGATCACAATGATACACATTAGCATGCTTATGATGAACAATGGGTGCATGTGTGTGTACATGTGATGAAGAGACTTGATGAGATGTACAAGAAGCATTGGCATTTTTATATTTGTGTGTATCATAGCAAAATTTAGCTAAATGGCCTTTACGACCACAAATGGAGCACTTGTAAACTTTGCTATACAAGTGTGCATAGTGTGTAGGTGATTTATAAGTTATAGCACTAGATTTAGCATACTTGTTCATAAGCTTATCATGATTAACAATACAAGTTTTAAGGGTTGAATCTAAAGATGATATACGATCCTTAACATGATTCAACTCATCATTATGCATACAAGTATTGTTATTAGAAGCAGTATCATTTTGTATGTTCTCTACTTCTAATATGACATTATTTTTAATATGAGATAAGCTAGTGATGGATAAGGTTAATTTTTCATTTTCCAAATTTAACATATCATTGTTTTCTTTAAGCACAATATTTTCTTTTGCAATGACATCAAATTTGGAACCTAGCAACTCATGATCGGATTTCAAATTAACATACTTGTTTTTCAAATCTATAAAATTATTACGCAACTTGTTATAGGCATGCAATATTTTTTTACTAGCACAAGCAAGTTCATCACTAGATAAATCATTATCGGATTCGAACTCGTAAACCTCACTAGGGCTATCGCCTAGTGGCCGTGTGCATGATGCTCCATATAAACTTAAAGCCGAATCCTCCAAGGCTTATCGGATCGCCTCCAAGTCCCCTTGATGTGCTTCAATAAATTTCCATAAGGTGTAAGCACTATCAAAATGAACAAACTTGTTAGATATAGATGAATCAAGAACATTTAGCAAATATTCTAACAAAATATTATTCATTATAAACATACGATGATTATTTTTATTCCACTTGGATTTCTCCGAAGTGGGCACAATATAATCATCATCTATAATTTCCCATAAATCAAAATGTTTAGATTGAACAAAGAGTTTAAATCTAACACACCATTGGTCATAGGGAAGATTATCTATTTTAGGAGCAACAATAGGATTATAGCCTAAACAAGATACACAATGTATGTTAATAAGAAAATGTATGCAAGCAAGATACAAATAAAATCAAAACAAAATTAGCACAAAAAGATAACTTGGATCTTTAACTCAAGGCGATTAGACCTTAAATCAAAGAGTACCAAGCTCTGATACCAATTGTTAGATCCTAGAGGGGGGGGTGATTAGGGTCTTATGCTAATCTAATTCGATTTTATGCTAATTAAAATTAATTCAAATATTATTCTTACAAGATAGATATACAATATGTTGTAAGCAAGAATAAGCAATATGAGCAAAGGAATATATTCTAGCAAGTATAAAATACAATAAGATATGTGAGCTAGGATAAGTGATATACATTGGGGTAAACAAAATAAACAAGATAGTGGGCAAACTAAATAATGAGACAATGCCGATATGAGCAATGAACACAAATAAGAATAAACGCTAAAGCACACTCAAACACAATCAAATGATCACGGAGTTCGGACCTTCCGTCCTACGTCTCCGCTCCCCACTCCCGGGAAGAAATCCACTATCACAACCGGGTTTTCTACGCTTACCCGAACAACATTTACACCTCAACACTCGGTTTTTTAGTTAACCGAAAACTTTACAATCACCACTCTTGCAATCCCATTCTACACCCTCCCAAGTGTTGGATCTAGACGTGTCTCCCTTAAGTGCTCGAATACAACCTCTCCCTAGGTTCGTCAACCGATGCCACTCCCCTTGGGACGATCCCCGACTCTCGCCACACATTTCTCTTGGTGTACAAGTGTGTTACAAAGTGAATCTCACAATAAGCACAATACAAAGTGTTTGTTCTCTATAATGGATGAGAACGAATTATAAGCTCACTCTCTAAGTTACACAATCCCACAACCCAATTATACTATGAATGTAAATATAATAAGCTCAATGGTTGTGTATGTGTAAACAAAGAGAAAATAAAATCAACTAAACTCAATATGAACACTAGCTTAATAAAATAACAATCAAATAATATAAAATATAATGCTAGATTGAGTTTAGAAAACTTCTCAATAGATCAAGAGTGGAAGGAGAAGAGTTGGATGCTCAAACACCAAATAGATGATCTCCTCAAGCTCTTGTGGAATTGATTCACAAAACCAAAACACTCAAATGCTTAAAAGCTTATAAACACACTTTAAACAAACTTAAACCCTTGATTAAAACTTTGTTAAACTTCTTGGATTGCTGCTGAAAACTGAGGTATAAGGGGTATTTATATGAAACCCCAAAGCCAAGAGAAAGCCAAGAAAAGACCAAAAAATCAGCTCAATAATGGCTCTGCAAACTAGCCGTTGGAGCAGATTTGACAGTGCGGCGGGGGGGAGACCAAAAAATCAGCTCAATAATGGCTCTGCAAACTAGCCGTTGGAGCAGATTTGACAGTCGCGACGGTCGACCGCGAAGGTCATCAAAGCAGAGAAAACTTTCAGAAAGTTCGACGATCGACCGTGGCGGTCGACCGTGAGAATTTTCAGCTTGACGGTCGACCATAGCGGTCGATCGTGAAAGTTTCTGCTGCATCCAAAGAGAAAAACAAAGACGCGGTCGACCGTGACGGTCGACCGTGAACTGATATATGAAATTTTCAGGTTTGAAAACAGTTTGCTGATTTTAAAACACTGTTTAAAAATATCAAATAAATTTTAAAAAATGTAAAACTTTGGAAAATGATTATAGACATGATAATACACATGCTACAAAAACTAGTTTTTAAAATTAACTTCCCAAATGAGAAATATCATCATTTTGCAGAATAGTCCAAAACATGAAAATGTAAACATATGAATTTTGACATTTTGGCTAAACCATGTTTTGAAACTTTACAAAATAATTTTGTAGACTTAATAAAATATGTATATGAATATTGTTAAGTCCAAAAACTAATAATACAATATGTTCACAAATATGCATATTATATGCAATGTTTTCTAAAATAAATATGAAATATGTAATCTCATATTTATAAACATGGAAACCAAAACACATGTATGTATATATATAACTATATATATGCATATAAACCAAAACTTATGTATATATATATATATATATATATATATACGAAGAAATCAATAAATGTGTGTGTATAGATAATTGATCTTAGAGTACTTAACACACATAATATAACACCTAAACTAAATTACCCAAGCTTGATCTTAATCTTCAATAGCTTGACTTAGTAATCATGCGGATGAAGCTTAAACTTGGATTTTCAACTTGAATTGTACAAAGCTTCACCTACTATTCCGCCAACCTCCATTTGATATGATCGTGAATGCGCAGTTCCATCCACCCTCTAACTCGTTGTTTGCCTAGAATAAATATGAAAACATAAACACTAGACAAACAACATTAGAAGTAAATTGTTTGTTAAACATAATCAAAACAAGAAGGCTAACACGGCGAGGTCGGTGGTTGGGGAGAGGACGAAGGCGAAGCCATGGCCGTCGAGCATGGGGTACTCAGGGACGAGGGCGAAGGCAAAGTCGGTGGAGAAGGAGGAGGCGACGGCTGCAGAATCAAAGGAGGAGTTCTTGAAGGGGAGGGGCTGGGGGTAGAAGTCGTTGACAGAGTTTGAGGAAGGAAGCTTAAGATTTGGAAGTTTTAGAGAAAGGGGATGAAAATATTGAGTGAGTGAAAATTATAAGGGGAGAAATTTTATGCCACAGGATCTGAAAATTTAAAGCCCGTGGGAAGATGAAAATTAATTTTCTGTCTGGGAAGATATCCTAGACGAAAATTCCGTCTAGGATAGAGGGGACCACTAAAAATACTATCCTAGACGGAATGTTCCGTCTAGGATGTGAACATTCTAGACGGGATATCCTAGACGGATTTATTCCGTCTAGAATGTTCACATCCTAGACGGAAAAAATTACATCTAAAATATTCTGTCTAGGATGCTCGGATTTCTACTAGTGTGTGAGTTTGGCAGTGTTCTTCTGCATCAGAATTGCATCAGAATAGGCTAGGGCCTATATCAAGTATGATTAGGAGGCACAATTCATTCAAAATCAGTTTTTTATAAACAATCACATGGAACGAAAGGAGAATGTGACATATGTTTGAGATCAAGTAAGAATTTTATCAAGGTAAAAAAACCGTCTGCATTGAATAGAAAAGGAATTGCTTCAAAAAATCAACTCTAAGGATGAATTTAGCTGAATATTAAAGATTAATTTTGATTCTTGATGGTAATTTTAAAGCACAATTTTTGGTTTTTGACTGTTGTAGAAGGTTTATCGTAGAAGGTTTATCGACAAAAAACTTTGAAGTTATGGTGGGATGAGGATTATAATTTTGTATTCTAATAAATATGGTTTTGGGACAAATGAAACAACAATGGATTTTTTAGGGTAATTGAAAATATACAAGATTTGACGGTGTATGATAAAAAACCCTAAAATTGCTGTTTTTTGTAAAGGTACTTCTTGTCTTTATGATTATGAAAGTATTTTGGCTTGGTTCGTGGGTGCTTCTGGGCTTCTCCATTTCAAAGACTAATTTATGTTGATATTTTCCCTAATGATATATACTCATTATACACTACAAAAAAAGATCCGGAAAATGATATCAAATATCAATCAGATGACCCAGAACTGTGTCTTGTTGAGAGTCAAAATTATGAACTTGCAGATTTATTCCTTTTGATTAAAATCTGGAAAATTGTGGTTAATGTGTTTCTTTTCCCCATGATGATGATAGTGGAAGGGGGTTTGCGAGCAGACTTAGGGATCGTTGTGACTTTTGGAAGTTAGAGGCCGTTAGCTGAGAAACATCCGAACTTAAGAGTGAAATTTACCCATTTATTTTTCCATACTCAGAATCAAGGAAACCAACATAACATCATCATCATCTAGTAATATGCTGAACAAACGAATCAAACTCAGCCTTAGACGATCCATTCTCCTTCACAGCGCCTCTAATCTCCTCCCCTAACCCCTTTGCCCTCTTCCTAATCTCCTTCCCTTCGTCATCAGTGCCCATCATTCTCTCAATCGCCCTCTCAACCTCCGAACCCGATACCGTCTCCTGATCCCAGCCCCTCACCAAAACCCCAGCCTTCAAATACTCGCACACCATCGTTGCATTCCTCGGCTGATCCGAATGCATCGGCCAAGCGATCATCGGCACTCCGAAACTCAAGCTCTCGATGCACGAATTCCACCCGCAGTGGCTCACGAAAACACCCGTCGACGGGTGCGCCAAGATTTCTAACTGCGGTGCCCAGCCTCGCACTACGACTCCAGTCTCTGACGTAGATTCCTCGAAGCCTGATGGCAGTTTCCTCTGTTTAGTACTGTTTTCGTTGTCAGCGAAGATATCGCCTTTGTCTGCGTCTTTTAAGACCCAGATGAAACGCTGACGGCTGTGCAAGAGGCCGAGGGCTAGCTGCTCGATCTGTTCGTCGGAGATTGATACTGTGCTCCCAAAAGAAACGTAGACGACGGATTCTGCGATCGTGGTCGCCACCGCTCGCTGAAACTGGACTCATCGGTCCGATTGCGAACAACTTCTTGTTTCGATACCTGGGCACATGCGGCATCAACTCGATGAACTCCCCATCGATCTCCTTACAAGTATTCATCACGACCCCGGCCTCCGACGACAAATCTCGCCAGTACTTGTCCAAAAACACAAAGAGCTCTTCTGGACAGCGGTCAGGAAACTGGGTGAGGATCACATTTCTCACTTCTCGACTCAGCTTGTCATCAATAATCTTGAGGTCGTCGGTGAAGAGCGAGAGCATGTACGACGCCGTGACGCACTGAAACTCGTACATCTCGGCATTGGGGATCGAATAGGCCTCGGCGCAGGCAAATCTCATGAGAGGGTCGTGGACGACGACGAGGCGACGGGAGGAGAGAGCCAGAGCGCGAAGCGCGAGAGCGATGGTAGGTTCCGCGGGACTGTGAGTGCCATGCGAGCCGACGCCTCGAAGGAGGGGGAGGTCGCTTCGAGGGGAATTTGTACACCGCGGGGAGCTGCCGTGTCGTGCAGGGAGGGCGCGAGAGGAACGGGAGCGAGGCGGCGAGGTTTTGGGTGGAAGCGCGATCTGGAGAGGAGGCGTAGCCCCAGCCTCGCAGGCGCGCGAACTCGGCCGTCCTTGGCCTGCTTGACGGGATGTTCCGGGGTGGGAGCAGGTAAGAGGAGGCGACATGTGGACTGGGATGTGGCAGCGGACGAAGAGCGTGGAGGCGAGAAGTGGAGGAGTTGTTGCCGGTCGCCCCTGCATGGATGGGTCAAGGGGGACCGGCCGACCCCGACGCCAGTTTTGACCCGGCATTCGCCGTTTTTTTGCCTGCTTTTTCGCGTTTTTTGGTTGTGCTTGAATGGGCTGGCCGCCCTTGCTCGCGCCATGGTTCTCGCGTCGCGTCTGGTTCGTTTGCATTGTTTCATTTAAGAGGCAACTCTACTTTATTAGTAGATAATAGATGCCCCCCCACCCCCCCCCACCCCCCCAACCCACCCACCCTCTCCCCTCCCCTCCCCTCCCCCTTTTTTCTTTTGGATTTGTGGACAACAACTCATACCCCGGTCCCTCCTATTAGAGTTTTTCTCTTGGATTCTATACTTTAGACTTTAGAGTCAGTTTGGCTGGGTTGGAAAGGCCTCGAATAAGGACCTAATTGTCTGGCATAGACTGAATCCGTCAGGAATTAATGTTTTTGGGGTTTTTAATCTATGTTTCGGTGTCATTTCGGGATAAGGTGGAAGTAAGCTGAAACGTCAGCTAGAATAGTAAAACCCAATTCCGAGGTTTTAGAACGAATTGAAATTGGGGTAATAAAATAAAAGAAAAATCTTGATTGCTCTTATTTTCATTTCTATTTGTTGAGTTCGAGTGGTGGTCACTCTTGGTTTTCAAACCGAGAAATGAGAAATTGTTGTTTGTCATTCTTCTACGTTAGACTACTTTCGGTGAAACAAACAAGGAATAGAATTTGTATGGCAAACACCTGAATCTACCATTCTATACGGAAATGATAATTCATATTATTTGTTGAATTGAACCAAACAGGCCCTAAGGAAAAGAGGGTCTTAAAAGCAATAGACACTACTAGCCAGCACTTTCTCCATTAAACCGCAAAACTGGTTGTAAACAAAGTCATATATACTATAGTCCTAGCTTCAATGTGTTAGACCCTAAGGTCGCTATGAAAGAACCCTAGAGGAGGGGAGGTCATATATACTATAGTCCTAGCTTCAATGTGTTAGACCCTAAGGTCGCTATGAAAGAACCCTAGAGGAGGGGGGGGGAGGGTGTGAATACGGTTTATGCTAATCTAATCCGATTTAATGCCAATTAAAACTTACTAATAAATATCCTAGCAAAATGATATGTAATAAGATATATATGCAAGGATAAGTAAACTAAGCAAGGGCAAACAGTATAGTGGAAGAAATAAACAAGATGCAATATGCGATATAAGATGAACACAAAAATAAGTGCGCCAATGCAATCACAAACAAACGATATGTTCACGAGGTTCGGTCCCCACGACCTACGTCCCCGCTCCTCACCTCGAGGAGATCTCCACTATCACGATACACCCGGTTTGGAAGCCGAAACTTCTCTACACACTCGGTTATCAAGTAAACCGACAACTCTCACAAAATCTCACAATGTACATACACAAGCTACAACCTCAAGTGTTGGTCCTCACGTATCGACTCCCTCAAGTGCTCGGAATTATCACCTCTCACTAGGCCACCGACGCCACTCCTCTCGGATCGACTCCGTCATCACCACACACTCCTCTTGGTGTAGTGTATTACAAGTGATCTCACGATAAGCACATAAATATAAATCTGTTCTCTACAATAGATGAGAACACAATGTAGGCTCACACTCAATGTCACACAAACCCCACAACCCAAATTATACAATGTATTCAAATACAATAAGCTCAATGGTTGTGTGTGTAAACAAAGAGTAAACAAAATCAACTAAACTCAATATAAACACTAGCTTAATAAAATGATAATCAAACAATATAAATGTAAAGCTAGATTGAGTTTAGAGAAACTTCTCTATAGATAACAAGAGAGAGGGAGAAGAGTGAATGCTCAAACACCAAGGATGATCTCCACTTGCTCTTGTGAAATTCTCTTCACAAACAAAACTCTTAAACGCTTAAAAGCTTTTTAAACAAACACTAAACAAAACTTAAACCCTTGTTAAAACTTTGTTAAAACATTCTCTTGGATGGGTGAAGAGCTGAAGGCAATGGGGTATTTATACTCACTCAAAACTTTAGCAAAAACCCTAAGGAAAAGACCAAAAACCCATAAACAAACAAATCAGAAAACTAGTTGTTACTGTGCAACGACTCTCTGAAGAAAACTAGCCGTTACTGTGCAACGGCTCTCTGATAAGTCGACTTATGAGTCGACTCATGAGTCGACTAATGAGTCGACTAGACATGCACAGACCTGAAGTGCACATAAAAACTCAACTTTAAACTGGGTTTAAAAATATCAAATAAATTCAAAAAAATATAAAACTTTGGGAAATGATTGTAGGCATGATAATACACATGCTACAAAAACTGGTTTTCTAAAAGGACTTTCCAAATGTAAAATATCATCATTTTGTAAGGAGGTCCAAAACATAGAAATGTAAACACATGAGTTTTGACATTTTAGCTTAATCATGTTTTGAAACATTACAAAATGAATATATAGACTTAATAGAAGATGTAAATCATTATTGTCAAGTCCATATACCAAGAAAGCAATATTTTCACAAAAATACTTGTTTAGCAAACTTTCAAAACAACAAACATGATTTTATTGAACTAGATAAAATTGATATTGGTGAAATCATATGTAAGCATATGAACAAAAATATATTTTCCAATTATATTCAATTGCTTTATATTTAAACATGAAAAGCCAAAACAATAAATATGAAAGATGTAAATTCATATTTATATAAACTTGGAAACCATAATATGTATGTATATATGAAACTATATATACATGGAAACCAAAGCTAAATTGTGTGTATATATATAACTATGTATATATAAAAACAAAGCTTGTATTGTATATATATATAACTATATATATACAAGGAAACCAATATAATGTGTGTGTATACATGATTGAGCTTAGAGTACCAACACACATAATATAAACCTAAACTACTGTTACCCAAGCTTGATCTTGATCTTCATTATAGCTCAGCTTGGTAAACTTGGATGAAGCTTATAATTGGATCTTTAACTTGATAGCAAGGCTTCACTCCACTATTCCGCCAACCTCCATTTAATATGATCGTTATGGCATAATCCATCCATCCTCCAACACGTTGTTCACCTAGAATAAATACGAAAACACAAACACTAGACAAACAATATTAGAAGTAAATTATTTGTTAAACATCATCAAAACAAGAAGGCTAACAATTTCATCTCTTCAATCAAGTCAGTATGGGATTTAAACTTTGATGGCTACAGAATGTACATTTTTCAAGCAAAGCTTAAGAAGCTCAAGACCGTGTTAAAGGATTTGAACAAAAAACACTTCATGAACATTAGTGAGCAAGTGATTAGAGCTAAAGAAGAATTAGCAACAGTTCAACAGCAGCTACATTCTGATCTTCTCAACCCTGCACTAATATCCAAAGAAAGGGAATGCATTCAAAAATATGTCAGATTGACAGAATTTGAGATATCCTTTTATAAACAGAAAGCCAATATCAACTGGGGCTTACAAGGTGACAAATGTTCAAAGTTCTTCCATTCTATTATGAAAACCAAAAGACACAGCAATAGGATCCTTTCATTATATATTGAGGATGGTTCAAGGATTACTGAAATGCTCATGATTATTGATGAGTTCATTAAATACTACAAGAAGCTATTGGGATCTTCTACTCCTACTGATAATCTTGATCCCAATGTGATAGCAAATGGTCCAATTCTTTCTCCCTGTCAAAGAAATACTCTAAGTCTACCTGTTACGAGAGATGAAATTAAGCTAGCAATATTCTCTATGTCAGAAGAGAAGGCACTAGGACCTGATGGTTACAATGCATCATTTTTTAAAGCTGCATGGAGTGTCATTGCTGAGGACTTATATAAGGCTATTGAGTAGTTCTTTGTATCTGGAAAACTTCTAGGTACGTATAATACTACTTCCATCACTCTAATACCAAAAATTCTTAATCCTCAAACAGCTACAGACTTTCAGCCAATTTCTTGCTGCAATTGTGTATATAAAATCATCACCAAAATCATTGCTAGCCGAATTCAAAAAGTCATGGGTTTCTTGATAAATGATGCATAATGTGCTTTTGTCAAAGGAAGAATCATTTCAAACAACATCCTTCTAGCTCATGAGCTCATCAACCATTATGATAGGAAGCACATCTCTTCAAGAGCTACCTTGAACATTGATTTGTGCAAAGCTTTTGACACGATTAGTTGGGAATTCATTAAATAAATGTTGGAAGGCTTGGGTTTCCCTGGTAACATGGTTGGCTGGATATGGGAATGTATTTCTACTCCTAAATTCTCTATCTCACTGTGACGCCCCTGGGTTCACACAAGACTGCAGTCCAAGGTGAAACCAAGAATGTCAAACCTGCCTTGCACCTCACCGTGCAATAACATGTTTCACCATCACAATTAACATCTATCTAGCAGAGTCAATAATAGGTGTAGGTACAAAAGCAAGTAAAAGATAGTGCAAGAAATAACTGATGAAGTGATAGAGATCACATAAATATCTCATCATCCAACATACAGAAATACATAGCCAATGTCTGAATCG